ATCATGCTTCATGATCTTTTGTATTGTCCTCAGACTCTGACAGACTTTCCAGACAGAAACTAACTCTTCCTAAGTATTTGCACACCCAATAGCACATCAGAGTCCTATAAGTCTTCTAGGCATTGTTACAACATTCATAGGAAATAGTTGTAGGAAAGACACTTTATAGGACCTTTTACTCTATATTAAGAAGTCAAATAATAATAACAAATTGAAGGGGACACCAAGCATGACCCAAGAAGGAGGTAATACTCTGCATCCCATTTTTACAATCAAGAGACAAGCCACTCGGCTATTTAGCAAGACTGCTGCCAGCAAGCCAGTATGTTTCCCAGATTCTTAACTGCAAACAGCAATAGCAAAAAATACATTCTCTGGTGACCTCTGCAGATTTAGCAATTCTGTATTAATTTTTTTATTTAAAAACCCCCCCAAAAAACAACAAAAAGCAGCTGTTGGTGGATGTAATTTCTAGGTATTGTAATTAATTTATTTTTAATCCCATGGAGAAATAATTTATATGGTTGCTAGCTGTTCAAGATATTGTGGTTACATTTTTGGTGTCTTTGGTACATTTTATTGTAACATTCTCAGGGCACTGTAGTCAATTACTACATCTCATGCTGTTTTACTTGCTACAAAGCATCATCCAAGCATTTTCTAACAAGTCCTTGTGCGTAACTAGGTCCTGTTCAAGAAACACATGTATGTCCACGCGCCGATAGGTATGAGATCAGTGTCAGCTTAGCCATTTGGATTAATGCCTTTTTCGTTTGGCTTCTGTGGTCTCAAGCTTCTTAGCTTAAGCTGTGATAGAGTTCAAAACCAAATACATTTTAAAAATTAAACCGAGTACATTTGGGATACAAAGGCTTATCTGATAGCTGTCTACCGTGCCTCTGCAGTGTTAAAACTTGTCCCAGATTTTCACTCCTCTCTCCCTTTTCCAGACCTCATTGTCTCTTATTCAGCCCCACAGTTTTGCCAGTCCCCTCTCTCTTGGCCATCCCAGTTCTTCCCTTCATTGCTGCTGCTCTGTCGTGTGTGTGGGGGAAGTGGGAGGGACAGTCCCAGCGGGAAGCACAAACCCAACCAGCTACACAGCAGCAAAGGGAACGAGAGACATATCTTGCTGGGGAAAGAGCTGAAACTGTGGCTTGTGGCCAGGACTCAGAAAGGGCAGAAGATAATAGCGCCCACGGATTAAAGGAAAACGGCTGGAAATAAAGTTTGCTAGGTCTCATCATATCAGATCATTAAAGGCAGTTGAGTGCGAAGGAATGCAAACCCCAGCACTTATGGAGGAGACAAGCCTCAGAGGAGAGAGGGGACTATAACCCGGAGGCAAGAAGTCAAAAGGGTTATGAAATTAATTAAAGAGGCTAAAGGAGAGGAGCCATCATCCAGGAATCTATGGAACGGCTATGCCTTTCCATCACAGCTATGATACGTGGCGGCTTCCCTTTCAAGTTGCATCTCTAAAGTTGAGCGAGAGCACTCACATGGGAGAGCTTGCCCTAACACAGTGGAAGCTACAGCTAATGTGCAGAAAAAATAATCCACTGCCATTGCTAATGTGGCCTTTTTCATTCATGACTCTACTCACTATATTGTATTTATTTAGAGACATGATACATCCAGAGCAATTTCCCAGAGAGGCTACAGTACTGAGGTGTTATCTGTTCCTAGAAGCCATTTCTCTAAATCAATATAGTACTGACCCCCCAAACGTAGCCTAGTCTAACATGCTCTGTATGGTCTTATTCCTGAGCATACTTTTCCCTTGTGCAAATGCTATATATACTTTCCGATCGTCTGTGAAATTGGGAAAACATTGTTTGCAGAAAGGGGAAAACAGGAGTGACAGTGAAGAACAGGGAAGACAGTGAAATCTCACTGATTTAGCACATCAGTGCTTCTCATTCTCTCCTGATCCAAGGCAGTAAAGGGAATATGAATAGAAAATAAATAATATTCCTGAGAAAGACATAAAAATGTAGGTCTCACTAAAATCCACATTTGCCCTGCCATTCCCTCCAGCAAGCCGGATCAGTTTGCTTTGTTTGTGTGAGTATTTCCATTAATTTGAACTGGAACTTTGCCTGACAAAGGAGCACTGGATCTTCCCTTTCTGGTCAGAAGCACTGTAACTACCAGCTGAAATACATCAACACTCTAGATAAGCCATGAACAATTTTGTCCGTTGATTTATTGTTGATTAAAGACTCCCAAGTTGTTTCTAGTCCTGAGAATTAATGCAACTGAAAATGTTGCAATAACATTAGAGAAACCTTTTGAAAGTGCATTAGTCTACCAAGCTAAATAAGCAAATAGGTTGCTGGCTGATGGTCCTTTCATCAGTTTTGTTAAGAGTCTCTGATTTCTACTACATGTATCTTCAGAGAGTTGAATGCACAGCCCAGAGCTGTCACAACAGCAAAATTCTATTAATTTTCCTTTAGGTTGCATATGCTTGGTCCTTACTAAAACTATTTCCTAGTTGTAAACAAAACACTCAACTCATCATGCAATGTTGCCAAGATATAAAAAGTGCTCCTACTTTTGACACGTTATAAATTCCACTAATGCAACAGGTTGTTTTAGAAAGAAAAGGGTAGGCTTGTTCTCCTAGAAAATGGCATGCAAAACTTGAGCACAAAGTCCCGTAATCTAAACAAATCAAGTATTTAAACTAATAAGAGAGTACTTTTAAAAAAAAAAAAAAAAAAATGTCGTGTCTTAATTGGTTGAGATGTGTGACACCACTGTTAAAAAAATGCAGCAGCTTACCAACCCTGCAACTGGAAGTATCACCAAAGATAAAGCATTATCACAACAGTTAACAGTTACTTATTTTCTTTTCTTTTTTTTTTTTTTTTTTTTAATTTCTTCTTTTTATTGCAATTCTGTGTTAATTGTGTTGCTTCAGGCAGATGGCCGAAAGTAGCATCTACAATTATTGGTAGCAAATCTGAGTCACTTTCACGGACAACATCTGTGTGAGACCGTGCAGGAGCTGGGGCCAGAGTCCCAGGGAGTGAGGGTGAAATCAGCACCGACAGCCCTTGACGAGAGGTCAGGCTTTGCTCCCTGGGAGCCAAAGTCACTGATTCTCCAGGTGTCTTTCCTTGTGCTACAGACAGGACACCTCAACGTGCATGCCATCTCTTCTACCATTACCGATACTTACAGGGCTGTCTCTGACTTGAAGCGCACCTCGTGAGCCCGTGCCAGTAACTAGAAATCCCCAGCAAACAATCCAGGTTGGCAAGCAAGGGGCAAATCTTGCAAATGCAACCAGTGGGCAGTACAACTTGTTTTCCGGGAACTGGGTGAATTCTAATCAATCATGCTCAACATTGTGCTGAATACACATTGAAGTGCTAAGGATGTTGTACATAGGGAAAAGTGTCGAGAATTCCCCAAAAGGCAAAAATTATATATCATGTCTGGGGCTGTACAGAGCAGCCCCACAAGTACCCACACTGAAACTCATGAGACTGGGATAACACTCAGTGGGAAAATAGGTCCTATATATTGACTTCTTGTGAATACACAGAAAACAGAAGAAAACCCAAGAAGAACATTTAAGAAAGTGTATCATGCTGCTGTATTTCCTCAAGGTGATTTAATAGAGTAATTGTTACAGTGTGCACTAGGAAAGAGCAGAGTATTTTAGTAATATGAAACTTCAGCACAGCATCTGTTACTAAACTTTGCTCAGAGGTAAGGAGAGGCAACCAAATTCTGGGTAAATTATAAAACAATTGAGTGGCTAGGGAAAGAAAGCTTGAAGGAGTTTGAAAACAAATTTCTCGCACACAAAAACCAGAACTACCACCACTGTTACTGTGCCTGTACACAAAACCAAATTATAACGTTCAATTGGTAGGAAGCTGATGTGAAACGCTTCAGAAAACTAAGTGTCTTTCTTGAATTTGCAGCTTCTCTGCTGCTTTAAGGAACATGTAGGCAAGATACAGATCCTTCAAGGCACTGAGTATTTTGCCTTTTTAGTGCTGAATGTTGGCAGCTCCCTTGCTGCTATGCTGTTTGTTTCTTATGAAAAGCAGCTGTATTTAGAGGTATTAGTAACCAATAGTATAAAATCTATATTTTCTGAAGAAGTCTACCTCCTTCAACACCACAATGCACAACATTCATACCATCCACGTTGAGACTTGATAGGGAAGTGGAGGACTGATGGCTTAAAATGCTGCTTTATAGTTTACCACAAAGGTAGTTGAATGAAGATAATTTTCTATCAGACTCCCACTTTTCCAAGCAGGGTAGAGAGGAAAGAAGACTGCATAAGCAAGTCAGGATCTTTTTTTCAAAAAATTTCTATAAGCTTTTCTTTCTTCCTTACACACAAATTTCATATTCAGGGCTGTTACTCCCTGATTATCTCAACAGGACATAACCAAACAAAACTTCCACAACTACTGGAGTGTATTCTGGACAAGAAACCTAGAATTTATTTTCTGTCATATTAAGCAAATGAATGTGCCTCAAACTATACCACTGGGATAGCATGCTTTTTTATTCTCACCATGAAGAAAGATATGAGAGATCAACTTGATAGGTGTGATTTTTAAAACCAAGTTTGTTTGACCACTGTAAACACAGTTTTCACTTCACGCTCAAATTTTCCTCACCTATTCAAATTCATTGAGTTAACAAGAAATTTCTTCCTTTACTTCTAGCAGCCCTTTGAAGGAGTTGAACAAAGAAATGCTCAAGATTATATACTTTTAGATTACTCTTTTTTTCATCTGTTAATCCTACAGATAAAACTTAAAGGTTTAAAACCTTCCAACTCCTACTTGCACAGTTCTTAACGCCAGTTATGAGATGGCATCATCCCAGACAACCCCAATAAAGTAAATTAATCAATTTAACAGAGTAAAGCTTTGAAAACAATGTGAGGGGAAGACTAGCAATTATTTGTATATACCATGCAGACGGACAGACACTCGAGCACTGAAGCAATGTCCTACCTCTCCTTGCCGGTGATAGTGCTTGGGAGGTTTTCCCATCTGCTCTAGCATTTTGCCCTTCTTACTGCTAGCAAGCGTCAGTCCCTGGTGGATGCCTGCAGATCTGTTGGTTGCCTGAGTTGGAGCCTCCCCCATCAGGGTGGACTTGATGGAGTTCACCTTGGAGCTGGAGCTGTCTAGCTGGGAGCTCTCCACGATCAGGACCGCGGCTAGTAAGAGGAGACAGCAGGAGCACTTATTCCACATCAGCACGATCATCTCCCCTCCCCCCAAAAGGATTATCTTTTTTTTTTTTTTTCTTTTTCTTTTTTCCTTTTTTTTTTTTTTTTTTTTTTTTTTAAGGCAAAGAAAACAAAAGAGAGAGAGAAAAAAAAAAAAGTTTTTTTTAAAAATATCTCCCAAAGTTGTTAACAAAGCAATGGATTTCAATGCCACACACTCAAGGAACTGCTGTTCTTAGAGACACGGGAGAAAAATAATTAAGAGAAGAATCCCCTAGGAAAAAAACGTGTCAAGTCTATAGGCATTGAGCAATTCTCGGGTCTGTGAAGTGAAGGCTTTTTCCTCCAGGTCCTCAAGAAATCCAGGCAATTCTTTGGTAACTGAAGCAACAAGCTCCGAGGCAACTGCAGCCAGGGCAGCTCCCCGGCAGCGCAGGCACCAGCACACGTTTGCTTAAGCTTCAGAGGCAGAGTGAGCGAGTTACTTCCCCCCACTCCTCCTCTCCGGCTGCACAAGCCAACAGAGAGGAAACTCAAACCAGATCCAATCCAAGCAGCACCGGCAAAAGCTGGGCTTAGTTTTCTTTCGCTCTCTCTCCCCCCTCTTTACTTTTTATTCCCCTCCTCCTTTTTCTGTCTTTCGCCTCAGCCTCTGCAGCCAGCGGGAGTGAAAGCGCCCGGTCTCCTCCTCCTCCTTCTCCTCCTTCTTCTCCTCCTCCTCCTCCAGCCCGGCCGGTGAGGGGTGAGGGGCTCTGGGCATCCAGGGCAGGGCAGGGGGAGCCCCGGGGCTGCCTCCCACCCGTGGCGGGAGCACCGGGACACAGGCAGAGGGGCAGCACCCCCCATGGCGGGCTTCCTGCGTGACTCCCCCCTCGCACTCGGGGGTCTCCGGCACCTTCCCGCTGCCCCCTCGCTATCACAGCCAGCGTCCCTTCCCCCGCCGCCCGTGTCGTGTCTGTCCCCCACTCCTCCCCCAATTCCCACCCCTCCGGCAGCCGCTCACCCCCCAGCCGGGTTCCCCCTTTCTCCGGCCGGGGTCTGCCCAGGGCACACGGCCACGCACAGCCTCAGACACGCGTGCCCCGCTCTCGGCTGCACCCCGCTGCCGCTCCAGTACCCGGCCTGGAGGTGAGAGGCGAAGCCTCGCCAAAGGGGACGGGTGCGGCAGAGGGATCCCCGAATTGTGCTGCCAAACCGCAGCCAAGGGCCGAGGTGCTCCAGCTCCCCGAAACGCTGAGAAGGGCAAAGCACGTTAGCCCTGCAGTGCTGCGGAGGTGTGGGGCTGGCACACAAAGCCTCTGAAATCTTATGCCCGAGCCTGCAAAGTCCGCTGCCCAGGCAAAGGGCACGTCCAGCCACTAATGCTGCCCTGCACCCCTCCTAAACGTGATGCTCCTCAGTGCCACGATGCCACTAGCGACCTGAGAGACTTACTCAGTATTCATCCCCGTTCCCTGGCAGGAGCACGCATCCGATGGCTGTGAAACATCCAGGGGCTGCTAACAACCACCCCCTCGCGCCAAGGCCCTTGCATCTCCCTGCCACGGCACGGAAACTCTGGGTTCCAGAAAGCGGAAGGTAAGCAGGGACACAGAGCGGAAAATTAACAGAACCGGGGTAAGACCAACTCTTAAACTTAAACATTTAGTGCAGAGAACAGCACCGTGGGGCACTTGTGTACTGCAGTGGAGCAGCTCCAAGCCCTTCTCCTTCCCCTGGATGTGTGAAAGTGGAGTGGAGGGAGCAGATGGCGAGAGGGGATGCGCTCTGACTGTCGCACAAGTCCAAACGCTACCTTGTCTGGGAACAGCACAGAGCATTTTCCTGGTTTCCCTCTCTCCCTTAGAGGAGGGGTCCCTCCTCTAAGCTATCATTCCTTTCCAGCCACTCTCCCTCTTTACATGGCAGAAGGGGTTGAAGAAGGCATGCGCACCCAAAATTTCATTTCTTCTAAATTAACAGCTGTGTAAAAGGAAGTTGCTAAGACAAAAATACCAGGGGGTAGGCAGGGACTCTTGTGGCCCCTGGGTCCTGGGGGCTTGGGAGCTCTCTGTGGCTCACTGAGCCACACCACCTTGGGTAAGTTTTTTAAAATTTTGCCTTTCTATCGACATGTGACTGCTAGCAGTGTGTCCTAACATTAGGGCTTGCATTATATTAAACAGAGCATCTTGTAAAGAGTAGATAAATTTACATCTTTTTCCACAACTCAAACCTTAGGATTGTTTGGGAGGATTTAATCCCATCTCACAGGGCAGATTTATTTTTTTTTTTAACCTTTCTTATCTAATGATCTCTTACTTTAGGGGATTACTACTGATTTTTTTTTTAGTTTTTTTTTGTTTGTTTGTTTTGTTTTTTTTGTAAGTAACTGAAATGACAGCCCCCAAGACTGGATTTTAAGTTGTTCTACAGAGCATGGCATTTGCTCTGACTTGGGCTTCAGATGAGCTCACATTTACTGGTTTTGAAGCTAGAAGCAATTTTATTAGCACTTGGTTTCAGAAAATTAAGTTCAGAATTAAAATGTCACTTTTTTCTTCATTCAGCTTTGCAAGGAGTAAGAAATGAAAAAAAAAAAAAAAAAAGCCTCCTTCACAGCATTTCCTTTTTTCTATCTTTGTGCAGCCTTAAATAAACTAAAATTACATTTCTGTCTTCATCCCCGATAAATCCTAAAGACATTTGTAAGGAAATGTTTCATAAAGATCAGAAAGCAATTTGTAATTTCACAAGAAAGTGATAAAAGCCAGTCCATTTCCACTGTTTTTGACTTGACTTTTGACACCCAGCCCTTCTGGTGTTTCACCCCTCCCAAACCCAAAAGCAAACAGCTATGAGGGCCACAGGAAAACCTCTAACAGATAACTTCATAGAAATTTGGCAGAGAGCCATATAAACAGCACACACACAGACAAAATGGGTAAAATCACAGCCACAGAGAAACATGAAATCCACTCAGACACACGTGCACAGTGTGTACACACGTGTGCGTCGGCAGCCTCACTCACAGACACGGGAGGGCTGATGTCCACCCACCCGTTCACGTAGGATCAAGCTGAGAGGGAGAAACACAAACTGGTAGCAGCTCTTTGATTTCTAATAACTAGTACCCTGGTCACATTTTATTTTCTTGCTGGGGATAAATAAACTGTGGAGAACGCTGAAGTTACAATTCAAATCTCTCCTCCTGGTACTCTCCATATATGCCAGCCCTGATCTGTCCTGCTTCGTGGTTGGTATCGAATTTATAAAAATACCAAGTCAGCAGGTTTTGCAAGATTACCACAAAAATTGGTCAAGCAAAATGTCGTTTTCTCACCCCGAAGACGTTTGATCAAAACGTATGGGAAGCTGTGTCAATTCACACTTCAAACAGCTCCCTTCTCCAAAATCCTTTATGACTGCTCAGAATATATGGTATATTTAACCAGGCTCTGAATCTATTAACTTTTTTGTTTGTTAACTTTAGTGACAGCAGTAGCAACCCCCCTCAAATTATAAATTTTTTGGATGTTATCTCATCTGTGTTTCTCTTACCCAGGAAGGAACATACGTTTTTAAGTCAGTGGTGGAGAATTCTCCACCAGAGTTGCTTTGAATAAGGGAAGATTACAAAGAGAACAAAATAACTGATGACACACGCAAAGAGAATCCTTGACAATAAAGAACACAATATGATGACCTCATGCAAGTACCATTCAGCTCTTCTTGAAATAAATGGACATGTGTGGTATTAAAGAGAGGCACACAGCACCTCAAGGAGCCGACTGTAAGTAGACTGTGTCTAAATTAATTAAATATATATCTATTAATATCTTATTAAATGTATTATTTAAATCAATAAATGTAAAAAACAAGCCACATTCCATGTCCTTAGATGTAAATAACAAAGTCCCCATATATTCATAAACTCTATAAATTTGAGGAAAACTAGGGAGTAATGCTCAAAGCTTTTCAGATATTTAAGAACAATTGCCCAAACTAATTTTTCCAAATTGGTCTGGATTCGGCAAAGTATGAAGTTCATCAGTCAGCTGGATTCATCTAAGTTTCCAGACATTAATTTCATGGGAGCAGGAATGGAAATGGGTTTCTTTCCAACAGGCCAGGACCTATCTTGGAACTCCTTGCTCTGAGGGGAAGATAGTTTGCAGCATCTCCGAGGAAATGGAATCAGGTTTTGCTTTGCTACCCTGACAGACAGCTCCCTCCAGAGGAAGCAGCAACCCACTTTACTGCAGGGCAGCTGCTGCCAGACCAACATGCTGCTCAAGACCAAAGAAATTAGAAGTAGATGGACAGAACCTGTGTTGGGGAGGAGCTTTTATTTTTTTTTTTTTTTTTTTTTTCCTTAACAAAAGCATGATAAATAGATATACTCGTAGAGAAACAAGCTATTTAGTATTTTAGGTTTTTTTTTTTTCACTTTTAACTAGCATTCACCCCACACCTTGTATACTTCAAACTGGTCAAATACAGACTTCCAAACTTAGGTGTGGATTTCCTATGGTCCTCACTGCAGCAACTCCTTTAAAGACACAGATTTACTTCACAATATCTACTCAAATAAGATGGTATGGAGGCAAAAATACCAAGAAGCATCTTTGCTTTTCAGATTTATGGCTGTACTGCTACAGCCTAGATTTTGAGAGACACCAAGAACTCCTAAAACATTTAAGTGCCATAGGGGAGGTACCAGAGGAACCAGCTACAACAAAACAGAGGTTAAGTGCATGAGGTGCACTAAGGAGCAGCTGTCACACTATTGAAGATCAGGCAGAGAGTTTACCATGAAGTTTGATGCCCAGTTTGGAGAAGGTAAGGCCCACATACTTTGTGTGTGTGTGTGGAGGGTAGTCAAACATTTCAGAGCAATACAGTTTTTTGCCCAAAAAAACCTTTTGCAGCTAACTGTACAGAATAACGGAAGAAGCATTACCTCAAAAACCGCTGTTAGTGGCAAATGCTATGTAACACGTGAGATGGTCACTACAAATTTCTCATCAAGTACCATACTGCAGAGACCGAACCTGCTCCTGGGCATTGTGGACCTAATCACAAATCTTCCTGGGATCTTCCAGAGGTGACACTTATGACCTAGCTTGGAGGACAGATTGTTTAAAGACCCCCCCATGCTCAGCTTTAGCTGCTAATTTTTCTTGCAGATTTCCAGTAGGCAGGAAGAGAGGATATGCTGGTCATAACCCAGGCATGGAAGCTCGACAGTCAAGAGGGCAAATGTTCATTAAACACCAGTGAGACCTCCAGCTGCAAACACTGAGAACTACATCAGCAAGCCACAACTATTCAGTTCTCATGTAATGTTAAAAATCTATATATGTTTTAATACAGAAATATACATTTGTATCTCTTTGGGGCTAAATTAGCATGGGGTCTGTAAGAAAAGTAGGTTTTTCTCTCATTTTCTTTGCACCCATGGAGAGCAGACACAGCTTGTATTTATTTCTAAATCAGGTATTCATACCCTGAACTAATGTTGGAGGTTTAAAAGTTCCACATATTTTTTTTTACAAATGCTTTGGTGTTTATTTTAATTACACTTGTTTATAAATTTAATGAAAAAACTGAGCGGCCTTAAATAAATGTTGTG